ACCACAAGGTGCTTGAATGAAAATCCGATTAATAAATTAATCAGAGTGTATCCCATTTATATATATATTTAAAACGTTGACACTATAGCTTTAAAGATGTAAGGAATATAATTTTATAGCTGATTTTTGATAAGGGTTTTAAATGAAAGCAATAAAAATCGGAATATCTACCGATTTTTCTAACTAACAGCTACAAAACCATTATACGCTGACCGCGATTGACTAAAATGTGCTAAGACAACCTGTCAATTTTCTCTCGAATTGCTACCTCTTACCACTGTGGCATATAAACGATTTTATCATTTTCACGGTACTCTTTTACCAAATTTTTTAAGTTTGTCAATAGATACAAATTGCATATAAAATAAGTTCAACATCCAATCCGTGAAGACAGATTATTACATCATCAATACGCGTAAATATTTCTACTACTTCCCTACCTGAGTGTTGTTAAAAGTGGCGTCGCTACAGTCGTGAGGCCCAAAATGTAGCTATTGTCGGGAATACTTCTTTTGGTAGTTGATGTTGTTCCATAAGCTACTTTAATCAACACAGCAGCAACACTTCGCTCCAAATTGTCCAGTTTATCGAGATAGCCGTTTACGGCTACTGAAGATCTACCAACCGTGTTATTGCTAGAAATTGATTTTCCACTTGTTCGGTAGCTCGTGTTATTCAAGATCACAGCACTGCCGACTTCTTCATCCACTAATATTGATTGCGATGAGCATATTAAGGAAAACGTCACTAATAATGCAATATTCATTTTAAAATTTTTCCAAAGAATTAGTTGGCTGTTGCATATAAACGATGTCAGCATGGCAACTATATTGTTATTCGCTTGCCTACTGATTTGACAGCTTTATAACAAACTATTTTCCGCAGGCGTCTGCTGAGTACTACAATTCGGCTTATTAGCAGGTTTAACAGGTTGTTGTATACATCTTAGTTTAGTACAATTTTATATTTAATACTGCTTGGTTACGCTCCTTGCCTGCCATTGAAAGAGGATCTACATCCACAAAGATAGAGCCTGATCTCTCATCACATTTTAAAGAACTTTCTGTAAAAAAAAAATAATAATAATAAATACAATTTAATAATAATTATCTCTATTATGAAATTACGTAATTCTTAATTTAATTTTTTTTAAACAAAATTACTTATACATATACAAATATTTTTTTTAAATTTATTTTATTTCTTAATTTTTTGCACAGGCACGCTCTCCGATGGCTGGACTGCTACATAAATATAATTATCTGAAATACACATGAATCTAAGCGTATAATTTGGCGATTCTAGGTAGATGCAGGACATATAGTTGTATAGTATGTTTTTTCTGAAAATGTACGTAACAGACATAAGGAGCCGTTACTGACCCCATTAAACAGATTCCATTTCATTTTTAAAAAAGAATAATAAATTTAATTTAAAAAGAATTATCTCTATTAAGAAATTAATTTTTTTATAAAAGAAAATTACATATAGATACACCATGCTATTTCATATTTATCGATAATAATCCACCATTTTATTTTGTTAAGCGTAATTTGAATACTGACCTAGACTAATAGAAGTATTTTGTAAATGATAGATTTCAGATAACATGCTCCCTTTGCCCAAGAGTATCCCACTACAAGAGAATTTATTAACAGAAGTAAGAAGAGTCTAGTCGAGACTGGTTGATTAGGAGCACCCTGAACCCATACACTTATAAACACGCATAGGCTGCAGTGTGGTCTAATTATGGGAATTTAATTACTTAATAACTTATCTTGTGGATGGATATAAAAATAATATTAAAATGCGCGCATTCACCAAAGCACCGGACTATATATACCAAATTTGAGGTATCTAGCATCGATATAGTGCAAAATATAGCAGAATTAAAGAAACCACTATATCTTTATTACCGATTCGCCACGATATCCGCACTAAAAGATCTTATATCTTCTGAGATCGACGCGTTCATGCATACGGGCAGACGGGCGGACAGGGCTAAATCAATATATATATATATATATATATATATATATATATATGAACTCCATTATTTATAAAGTTTGTTTAGGACACGAACTCATACATACATATATATATATATATATATATATATGTCATGTCAAGAACCATTTTTATAATTGTTAAACAATTCAATTGCTGTTAAAGTTGCTTAGCTTAGCTCTTTGAAGTAAAGTGATAATTTGCAATATATTAATTTTCAACTTTAGTTATTTAGTTTCACAGAAATATTAACCTATAAATGAATATTACATGTTAAATTAAAAATTATTATTTATATTCAACTCTTCCACACCTCAAAAGTCTAAATTTACGCTTCATTCCTTTAATAGCGTTACTTTACTAACTTTAACTTAACAACTATACTTGCGTAATATAAACAGTAAAAAATAAATTATCTGAAACTGAGTATCAAATTCAAATAACGTTGTTGAGTAAATATGGAAAAGAGAGTCCATTATACATATTTATTAAGTTCTCAACATTGATTTATTGACTCACATACATGTACATATGTACATGCATACAGCTATAAGCATACCTACGTTTTGGGTCAAGTTTTGTGGACTCCTGGCCTTTACGTTTACAAAATGCATTCGAAGTAGTGCAATAAAAATAAACTTTTCAATGATTCGTTATTTAATATGATAAAGCCAAAAAAGGAAGCAAAAAGAAAGAACTAAATTCGTAAATGATATAAGATATCTATGAATTTATTCAATGTATTTTCGAACATTTATGCATGTATATACATATATACATACCTACACAGACATCAAGCATTTTTCAATTACTTAAAATAACAATTTCGACTAATGGCCACGGTTGTCGAATATCAGTTATTGCATTCATTAAATACATTACTTGTAGTCATTCACAAATTAATAGTTATCCAAATTTATGATGTATTTGAATTTATAAATGCAAGCAACAAAACATTTATGTATATACCCTTATTTATAAGTATAACCAAGTCAAACAAGTTTCTTTGCACAAGTATGCATATGCATATATATATATATATATATATATACATGTATACAGTTACACACAAGGTATTAACATAGGTTGCATGTACTTGAGAACGCGTACTTATGCGACGGTTTTCACATACCGCAAATATATAACAATTGCACAGCACATTGAAACTTAAATTTGCATATATTAAATGTTCTTTGTATTATATTATTAACACAAAGAAATCTCTTTTTAATGATTCTAAATTTTCTCTCTTCTACACAAAATGGCGTTGTCACTAGAGATGCGAGAAAAATATTGAGATATTGTTATCGATTTTAAATCTGCTTTCAGATTGGGAACGACGAATTCTGTAATATCGATATATTAAGTGCGATATAATGTAAATTTATATGTATCTGTAAAAAATGCTTTAAATAATTAAAAGAAAGAAAAACGAAATGTAGCGAAATTCCAAGAGTTTATTTTTCATATTATTTTGTTATTATTAAGTATTTCAAAAACTATTTTTATCGATTGTATTAATCGGTTAGCAAATCTAAAATTTATCAGCTATATCGATACCACATGTGGACATCCATAAGAAGTTAAATAAAAATAGAGCACTCAGAAAGAAATCGGTTTTAATTTAATATATATATATATATATATATATATATATATATATATATATATATATTTTTTTT